TGTCCAGTTTCCTACAGATGGGCTTTGGCTCTCCACTCTGCATTCACCCTCATTTACAATGGTATGATTTTTTGTTCTTTGATACCTGATCTCTTCGACACCTTGTGGTCACACAGGCTGATGTGGGCTTTGATGCTTCTGAGCTAGATGGCTGCTTGTTTACCTGCAAGCCTTTAAGACCCCAGTTACTCTATCATTTGATAGTCCGGCACCATCAGCTTTCTTCACCACATTTGCTTATGCACACATTTCTTTTCAGCGATCCGATCGTGTTGGTAAGGTGTGAATCATGGAATGCCAATTTAATAGAACAAAGTGTTCTTGCATTTAGTAAGTAATTGAGTGGAGGTCCAATGTCCATATGCTGCCTTAATACTAAACCTATAAATATATGCACGTAGATCTATTTCCCCACCATCCTATATAAATATATTTACATATGTACATGCCTGTATTTAGACCTCTATAAATACCGTTTGCCTCCTAGTTCTTTCCTCTATTTCCTTTAACTTTCCTCTTGTCCCACTATCATACTCAGCCTTCATTTGGGTTTCAGTAATTTCTTTTGGTTACATTGCCCTTACCAGGCCTCTCACACCCTCTTTGCCACTAATTTTGGATCACTTGTTGCTCCCATGTCCCTGGGTTGATCAACACCACCTTCTTATCCCCACCACCCTCTCTCCTATGTCCCCCCTGGAACCGTGGGTCCTGTTTTCTCCTCCAGACTGTTCATTCAGCCTATCTTATCTAGATAGATCTGCAGAGATAATAATATGCACACACAAAAAAAGGCATAGCAAGACAAAGTGACAAAAAAGAATACAACAAGGACAGCAAAATAGAAAAAACAATGAGCCATAAAAGAATAAATTAATAAAAAGAAAAAAGAAAAAGAAAAAATTTAAAAAAGAAAGAAAAACCTGTAAATAGACCAAGGTCTGATTTTTGACTTCTAGGTGTGTTCTCCAGTCAGGTCCGGTGGGGTGCCACGTTCTGGCCCCAGAGTCTATCCTTTACACTCCCTCGGGAGTTCCCTACTCTGCTCCCCTCGATGCTCTGCTGAACGCCTTTAGTGTTTTGCCTCGGTGTCGCAGGGTCAGTCAGGGCCAATCCCGACACTCAGTCTCAAGTGTTGTCACCCGTTGGGCTATGGGATATCGTGTTTCATAGTGGGATCAGCCATATGGCCCACTCTGTGCATTGGTTGTTCGGAGCAGGGATATCGTCCTCCAGGCCTGGTGGGCCTGGATGTGCTCCACTCACTCTTCCTCCCCCTTCATTTGCTCCTGTGTGCTGTGATCAGAAATGTCCATCTACCCTAGTTTCAGTGCTGTCCTCTAAAGTAAATTCTTCTGGGGGGAGGGGCAGTTCTTCCTATGTGGCGATATGCTTCATGCGTTCATCACTGCTTTTTAGGGATGCATAGTACTCCATTGTATGTATGTACCACAGTTTTTTAATCCATTCTTCTGTTGATGGAAATTTGGGTTGTTTCCAACTCCTTGCGATTGTGAACTGTGCCCCAATGAACAATGGAACTCAGATGCTGGCTCATATGGTAGCTCAATTTCCAGCTGTTTTAGAAATCGCCAAATCGATTTCCATAGTGGCTGTTCCTATCTCACCACAGCCCCTCCAACACTTGTTGCTTTCTAACTTTTTGAATTGGGCTATCTTTGAGGGTATTAGGTGGTATCTCATAGTTGTTTTAATTTGCATTTCTCTTATGTCTAAATATCGGGAACACTTTCTCATATGTTTATTGGCCATTCGGATTTCTGCCCCTGTGAAACTTGTGTTCAGGTCCTTTGCCCACCTCCTCAGTGGTCAATTAGTTTTTTTCTTTTCGGGAAGCTAGCAGGGTATTGTAGATTTTAGTAATAAGGCCTTTGGTGTGTCATTGCTAAAGATGTTTTCCCAGTCCGTGTACTCTCTTGGTGAATTCTTTAGATGTACACAGGTGTTTTATCTTCATTATATGCCATTTGTCAATTTGTGCCTCCTCTGTGTTTGTCTCCTTCCCTATTTCTGATAGCCTATGTATTCCCTGTGCCAAAGTTCTCAAGTTGGTCCCAATTCCCTCATCGATGGCCCTAATAGTTTGGAGTTCAACTTCAAGGTCTGTAATCTACCTTGTGTTTATTCTTGTGCATGGAGTGAGATAAGGGTCTTGCTTTATTTTTCTGCAGGTCGATAGCCATTTTTTTCTAGCACCACTTGTTCAAGAGGGGATCTGCTTCCCATTGGATATTTTTGGGTCCTTATAAAAGATCAGTTGTCTGTATGCTGATGATTTTATTTTTGGGTTTTCAGTTCTTTTCCATTGGTCTGAGTATCTGTCATTGTACCAATACCATGCGGTTTTGACCACTGTGACTGTATGGTATGTGCTAAAGTCAGGTAAAGCAAGCCTTTCCACTGTGTCCTTCTTCTTGGGGAGTCCTCTGCTAATTCTGGGCTTCTTCCGTCTCCATATGAAGTTGGTAACACGTGTTTCCATTTCTTTGAAGAAAGATGAGGGTAATTGTATCGAGATTGCATTAAACTAATATAGTGCATTTGGCATAACTGACATCTTGTCTATATTGAGTCTTCCAATCCATGAGCATGGGATATTCTTCCATTTGTTGAGGCCACTCTTTGTTTCTTATAGTAGTGTTCTGTCGTTTTCCTCATATAGATCTTTTGTTCTTTTAGTCAGGTATATCCCTAGATATTTCAATTTGTACTTGGCTATTGTGAAGTGTACCACCTCTTTGATCTCCTCTACGCTGGTCTTATCCGATGTGCATAGCAGTCCGATGGACTTCTGTTTGTTGATCTTGTATCCTGCCACACTACCAAACTCCTCTATTGCTTCCAGTATTCCTCTTGTGACGCTTTTGGGATTTTCCATATATAAAATCATATCATCTGTGAATGATGTTAGTTTCACCTCTCCCTTCCCAAGATGAATACCTTTGATGTCTTTTCTTTGCCTTATGTTGTTAGCTAAAACCTCCAGTATGATATTAAATAAGTGAGGACAAGGAGCATCCTTGTCTGGTCCCCTTTTTCAGTGTGATTGTGTTAGTCTTTTCTCCATTGACTACCACGTTGGCTGTTGGTTTTTCATTTATAACTTGTATTGTCTTCAGGAATTTTCCTTCCATTCCTATCTTCTCAAATGTCTTAAACAGGAATTGGTGTTGGTTGTCGTCGAATGCTTTTTCTGTATCTATCGATATTATCATGTGGTTCTTAGAGTTTTTCATGTTAATGTGGCAAATGATTCTAATGGTCTTTCGTATATTGAACCATCCCTGCATCCCTGGTATGAATCCCACATGGTCATGGTAAATTATTTGTTTTATATACTTTTGTTAAGTATTTTGTTAAGGATTTTTGCATCAATGTTCATTAGGGATATTGGTCTGTAGTTCTCAATTCTTGTGGCATCCTTGCCCGGTTTTGGTATCAGAGTTATATTAGCTTCATAGGAGTTCATGAATTTGCTGTCATTTTCTATGTTCTGGAAGTGCTTGTGTAGGATTGGTGTTAGTTCTTCCCTAAAAGCTTGGTAGAATTCATTTGTGAAGCCATCTGGTCCACGGGATTTTTTGGTTGGTAATCCCTTGATAACCTTGTCTATTTTTTCTATTGCTGTGAGTCTTTTGAGATTCTTGACATCCTTTGGGAATAGTCTAGGGAGGGATTGTTTTTGCAAGAATTTGTCCATGTCTTCCAAGTTGTTGAATTCATTGGAGTACAATCCTTTGTAGTACGGTGTAATTATCCTTGTGATTTTTCATTAGGGTCTGTTGTAATGCCCCCTCTTTCATCCCTCATTCTATTGGA